TTGACCCATTCGCAACCTGAACGACAATATATTTGTATGGACCGCGCAGCCTCAAAGCAAAGAGAGAAAACCACCACCCAAGTTCTGTTTTTGTCAGTCTCGATTTTCACTACCGTCTACGTAGATAGGCTCAAAATTAAATCAAAGCTAGGGAAAACAAGTTAAATGTACAAAACATGTTAAAAAACAGATGAACAAAAATTTGCAAATTAAATACATTTTGCATGTAATGTAAGAAGTATTAGTGCTACGTTACTATAATAGACGTGCAGGGCAGGTAGCTTACATACATATGCACGTACGAATACAGGATTGCAGGTGTGTAGTGTACGGGAAGCTCGTGCAAGGTCACTCAAATTGAAGCTGTGCAACGCTCTAATAGGTCAAGTGTGACGTGTTTAGGTATGTACATACAATTCTAAAACGCTCATCTTGATGTAAGGCGTGTACTATTATCTCATTAATAAAGTTATATCTTGCCAAAGATTTGACACAATTGGGGTACTCTTTAAAGGGCTATCACAATTACAAAATAATTAAAAAGCCTGTCATGTCATGGGAGAGCATTGCGTCCAAGGATCTGCTTAGGTATATTCAGCAAATATTGCTTAAATATGTATGTTGGAGCTAATTCGGTTTAATTTTAGCATTCCTCAAAGCCAAAATCTATCTGCAACTCACTTACTAGCGTCACCTGATGGATCGCGATACTTGTTAGGAAACTCAAATGGTTTGTCCTTAAAATTTTGTACATAAATTAAATATATGTATAAATATGCACACATACCTCGACATGATGATATTTGATTGCAGATTTATGTCAGTTAGATGAGAGCTATTCGAGAGTTGCGGGCTATGGCTCAAGCCCTGATGCAGGTTCGCGTTCTCTCTGGACTGGCCAAGGATTATTACGTTCTGGTTCTGTAATCAGCTGTTTTTTGGCTTGCCAACGAAGCCTTCGACAGTACATTGCAAAACGAAAGGTGAATATTTCCCTATCGTACGTTTACAACACACGATATAGGAACGTATTAATACAATATATGGCAATTCACTGATTGGATTTGTTCACAGATTGAGCGCGGTCTTCGGCTTTATGAGCAAAACAATCAAACAGCTGCAGTACGCACCTGGCGTAGTGCATTAAAAGGCACGTGTCGTCGCGAGGACTGCTTCCAGCTATTGGGTTATTTGTATCAGGCACATATGGATTGGGGAAAGTTTCGTGAAGCTATTGAGTTCGGTCATCAACAGCTTGGGTGAGTAAAATGGCCTACCTTTCCCGAATGTGCTATAAAATGAAATTGGCTATAGTATTTAGTTGTTGCTTTTTGCTCAGAAATTTTTTAAATGTGCTTTAAAATGTCAGCATAAAATGCAGAAGGAAGATTTCTTAAGAAACAAATGTAAAATGTTTACACAATGACTATAACAGGTATATACATATATCAAATCTTCGCAGCTCCGATCTTCCAGATATCTACATATATACATATGTATTTATGTACATTATAATAATCAATACATCGTAATAATCAAGAAGAAGAAAAGAAAATTTGAATGATATTATTTAGTATACATTTATTACAAAATATTACTAGTAATCACAAAACTTAGTCCTAAATTTCGACTTCCAAGCATTCAAGCGCGTACATGTACCACAATAAAGATGCAAATTAAGGCTTTCAAGAAATTAATTTTTAATGCTCAAGCATACATAACTCACCAAGAAATATGAATCAGAATTACAGGACTCCGTATATAGCTGACATATAGCATTAATCTTAAAGCTAGTCTTGAACTCTTGCTTGTATTGATTTTACCACATTTTCATGTTGTAGTAATAGTCTGGGCAAAAGTCATTCATAGTCTTATCAAGTTTAACCTGTCATTTTATTTTTTAGCATATCAGAGGAACTCGACTCTCCAAACATGCGTGCAGAGACGTATCTAAACCTCAGTCGAGCACATGCTAGTCTAGGTGGTCTCGAGCGAGCTTTGAGTTACGCTCGTCACTCGCTCTATAACGAGTGCGGAACAAAATGCCGCAGTGGACTGGTCCATTTGACAGTGGCACGAGTTTACCTTGAAATGGGCGGATTTTCTAGAGCATTGGAGGGCCTGCAGGGGGCTCATAAGATAGCTATAGCCATTGGCGATCCTTCGTTGGAGTTGCAAGTATACGTGGCACTCTCCGAACTTTTCGGCCGACTACAGGATAATAATAAAAGTGCCACCTACGCATCCAAAGCATACGATTTGTCGCGATCCCTACAACTGGGGGACCTGAATTCCTGTCATCATAGAGCCGCTTTGCTGCGCATGGCAGCCTCCTTGCGAAAGCAGGGCGAGCTGGGGGATGCGCAGGACTACTGTAAGGTAACTGAAGGTTTTTCTAAAAATTTAGTCGACAAGTTTTGATAAATATAATTTCTTTTAGGAGGCAACTAAACTGTCGCTTATTTCCGGAGATCAGGCCACATACACAAGAAGTGTCCGTGTTATGGGGGATATATACCGAAAGAAAATGGATATTGATGTTTGTACAAAAAATGTGCATGGCCTATATGCAACTCAATTTTCCCCTCTGTCTTTTGTACTTTTTTATTTTGGAGATTATCGCGAACTATAGAAAATGTAGTTTCACACACAAATATTCAAGCATAATTCATATTATTAATAATTTTGTATAATTTATAAAATACAAGTATTAGGTTAACGCATATGTAAAATCCATAGAGTTCATGCACATCGAAATCTAAGAGCAGCTCAAGTTTATTTGCTTGTATCAACTTAAAGCCAAAAAATCTTTAGTAGTCATCAGATTCGATTCAAATTTACGAATAGTAAAACCATTTGTACATATTCCGCTCGGAAAGCTCGGAAACAATAACAACCTGATTTTTCCTACGAGTATACACGTTCAGTATGATTAAAATTACTTATTAAGAAAAATCTTATACATATTTAACTTATTCCTTCTTTTTTATATTGACCGATCGAAAAATATTACATCAGCGGGCGTTCCGACAATATGAGCAAGCAATGGGTACATCAGCAAGTTTAGGGGATCGCATGGCTCAAATGGAGGCGATGGACGGGGCTGCCCGGTGCCTGGAAACTTTACGTCTTCAGAACAAGATTTGCAACTGCAGGCCTTTGGAATTTAACACACGTCTACTTGAGGTTGCCAGCTCTATTGGTGCCAAAGTGATTATCAATATTAGATCCAGAAAGTTTTAATAATATTTATGCGTATATTATATCTGTATTACAGCTTCTGGTGCGCAAGATTCGTTGTCGACTAGCTTTAATATACCGCGCGTTGGGCGACGAGGATCAATATAACACTCACTTCCGCCTGGCAAATCAGACAGATGCTGCATTAGGCCTAAATTGTGGTGCTTGTGGGGAATTATTCGGCTTACAGCCGGGCAATCTAGAAGCCCTACCCTGTGCACACATTCTCCATGCGAGGTAGGTAAAAGGTTGATCGCTAAAATAAATTGAAAGCTATATACAGCTAAAGAATATAACCATACTTGGTAATTATATTTGCACTTATTCCAGATGCGCACACGAAATAATGCGACGGCGAGACAAAAACGGACCAGCACGATCATGCCCGGCCTGCAACAAGTTGTTGAATTCTCGCTTGCATCTTTGCGGTGGTGGGCCTGTAGCGGGCGAGAATGAAAGCACTGATGGAGGCAGCGCCATTACGGTCACATTGAATGCTAATGCTCTTTCTGTCGATGGGCTCTTGGCGATGAAATCTGAAGCTCTGTCAGCACAGTCGCGTTCAGTTAATGAGTCTTCTGTATTTTGCAATATCAACAAAACGATGCCAGCTATTCAAAATACGACGCTGTTGTCCCCGAAGGCTTTGTATCACAGCAATCTCTCACTGGCGTCCTTGCGCGCATCCAGCTTGACCATCGATAGCGAAAGAAACGCCACATCGTCTGTCTAATTGACCCCCTTGCATATTTAAGAAGAGGTGGAAAATCTGCTCTTGCAAACGGCAGTGGTACGAGTATTTAAAATACAATATAGCACTGGAGAGAGGGGACTCTAATTAATAGCATCGTAATTTAATTGCTTGAAGACGTAGATAGCCAAAAAATATATGTATGTTCTCAGAAAGCTGCATTCTAAATGCATAAAAAAGTTAACAGAAAATGCACTTTCCAATCTATGTATGTATGCTTCTCGCAAGCACGTAAGATAGCAACTGATGGGCATTTAATCATACAGCTTAAGCTTAAATTATTACTAAATTAACAACTACTTAGAGTACCTTAACAACCATCATATAAACAAATCAGGCAGGTGCATTGTTCAAGTTTTAAAATTATATATGATATGTATGATATTTATTCTTAAAATTCATAAATTAAAACAAAAAACGTTATTGTGTTAATACCAATATGACCATGTGTAAATTAATTATGTAATTCAGAATGCTTCCAAGTTCCACAGCAGCAATCTTTCTAGTGTGATACGTCTTGCATCTGCGCTCCCAAAAGTATACAGCGCCAGCTGGCATTTTTGATGGTAGTACAAAAGATGGTCTGTATGAGCAGGACGTGGCTATGACGGAAACGGCAGTGCGCAATGCGCATGCTAATTATTATTATTATTTTTTTAATTAAAGTATATTTTTAAACTATGAATTTTAAAAAAATACCTTTTGATTAAAAAATGTTATAATCTGTTATAAATGTTTCTATAAGAATCGATTTATGTTATATTAAATAATTTAGGAGCTGTAGACTTTTTCCTACTAGATTGGTAATTTCACACACTGTGCCTCGTCGAGATTTCATCCCTTGGGCCCTACCCGACCCTATTGCTCTCCTTCCGAGCCACAGCTGGTAGTCGGGCTTTTGAGAGAGAGCGAGCTCTCTATGGTTTTCAAAACGGCAACGCAACCCTTATCGCGAGGGGTGGCGTGTTGTGGCTGCTCAGTAGCCGAAACTTCATGGAACGCGGCGGTCGTCACATAACAAAGTTTTACAAAATAACACCCACATGTGTGTGCATGTACACTCATGCATACACTCGTACACCTACATGCGTAGAGAATTTTCCAACTGAAGGTTTCGTTATAAGAAATGCTCTAATTATAATTCTCCATCGATTTGGAAACGTTAATCAGATCAGGAAAAGTTTATCAAATAAACAGCATTCGGAATTTAATTACAGCTTTTCTGATGTGTAAAAAGTCCAGAAAATTATCCAATCCGGAAATATTTGTGTACCTGTGTACGTTTTAGAAATGTATCGAGTTGCACAAAGTGGGGCGAAACTCGCGGCTCTCATGATGATGTAGTTTTTGACTTAGCAGCCATTTAAGGTAAATTGTATAAACAATATAAAATCAGGTGGAGATTCAAGTTTGTGAACTTACGAAAGTTAAGACTCTTAAAAGAGATACAGCCCATCAAAAGGTGACAAATAATTCCAAAGTGCAAGCAACCCCAACCCCCCACAACTACACACGAGTATATATATGTGTAAATATGTATGTATGTATACAATACATGTGCACATGCATGTATGTATAGCGTATAGCTAGGTCGAAGCAACCCTTAAGGGTTGGCGGCGATGGCAACGTGAAAAGCGACAAAAACAATGAAGAAACGGAACGGAACTCATGGCTAACAAAAAATAAGAAATAAATACAGACCCCCAGCATACCACAAACATTTAGAGTAAACTCAAAAGCTATATGTAAAAATATTTATTTTATATATGTACATATATATTCCTGTATATGTATGTAAATTCACTTTTACTGCATACGACTATACATATATACTATGTAGGAGAGAACATTAAAGTAATACCTGCCGCGCATTAATCATATATACTTAAGTAAGTCCGCCTTCAGAAAGGAAAAGCAATACTTTTAAGATGAACTCGATTATACTTACATAATATACCAAAAGCTGAATCTTTGCCTGTTTCCATTACATACAATAACAATACTCATACAGTACTCATCAGTTTGACGTAGTTTATTCGTTTATTGCAGTTAAAGTTTGATGATAACTGAAGTGGAATCTCCAACCTTTTGTTATTGACAACTGTGGCTGTGGCCTGCGAAACTTTGTAAGGAATGGAATCAATTAATGAAATCATGGATTCCCAGACGTTTAGCCAGGAACTGGTGGACGATGAGTTCATTACCGTTGGACACCAGAACCAGCACCAAGAAGCTGACTCCGAATCCGAGTCACACAGTCTACATGGTGTCAGCGGTGAGGCTCTTGCCATGACCATGCAATCAATGATGTCCTCGGCGGACGGGGCTGGTGAGGAGGAGCCTAGTTCTGTTGTGATGGTTATTGATGAAATCGCGCACAGTAATGTGCAGACAGCGTATCAGATTGTGCCTCAACAGCTGCAGATTCAGGGTAGGAATTTGCCACTACCATTGTCGTTGCTCCACCACCAGCATCAGCGTCAACACCAAACCCAGACCCAGCATCAACAGCGGCAGGAGAGAATGATCGCCAGTAGCCCAGTGGACTTTGTTGGGTCTGATATTAGCTTGGATGGAATAGCTTCAGTGAATACGGTGCTGTCCCAAGGGGTATCTGTCAAACAGGAGCACAAGCTTCTTATTGTTCGTCGAGATCAGGATTTCAGTCATGTTAGAAGTCAGTCTCAGGCCAGTAAACGTCATAATATGGATGAAGACGTTTCGAACGTCGGTGTTGGAATAATGGATGAGCTTTCGTCAGACGGCTTAGCCTGCGAGGAGGAAGAGGTCACACTGAACCAACATCATCAACACCAGCAGCTTCTAGAACAGCAGCATCAGTATGGCCATTTAACGCATCATCAAACTCATGGCCAAGTACATCAAAGTATGCACCATCGATCAGCTCAGCTGGCACTAGGACACAATGGAAGCGTTCACAGCGAGGTTTTATCGGTTATTGTACAGTCTCACGAGGACGACAAGGATGTGGAAGGGGATGCGGATGAAGACGACGACGACGATCGAGACTCTGGTGGGCGCGGTCAATTACTCAGTCCTGTATTGGAGCACAGCTCATATCAAACATTAACATCTGTCAATGATCGCATATCACCGCCTGGTTTTAGTCCGACGTCGTATGCCACGCTGACACCTATTCAACCACTTCCGCCCATATCGACGATGTCCGATAAGTTCGCTTACTCTGGTCACATCTCCGGAGGAGGAGGAGGAGGAGGGGGAGGTGGAAGTAGAAGTGGAGGAGAAGGCACAACCAACTCATCCAGCAGCGCTGCAGAGACAGGAACTGTAAGTAGTGGTAATGTCAGCTCTTCTGGTTGTAGCAACAACGATTGCAGCTCATTCTTATTATCTGGATTATCTGGAGTACAGTCGCCGTATTCCTCCTACGATAAGTTGCCCTCAATGATTTCTCCTCCTCCTCCACATAACTACTCTGGTTCTCCATCCCACGGGCTCACCGGTATGGTAGTCTCGTGCGACTTGCATACGCACAGTTCCTCAGTGTCAGTGCCTTCCCCAGTAACTGGTGGATGCGTGACTCTTTCCCCGCACTCGGATTCCCCGCAGTTGCAGATTGGAGTTAACGTCAACGGCCAAAAGCGAGACGCGGTGACTACACATGGACATGCACACGGACACGGAAACGGACATAGTCATGGACTCCAGCTGATACCCGTAACTTTGCAGAAACAGGTGATATGCCTCTCACCGACCGGTGTTATAGGGGACAGTGTGGTTGTGAGTGATTATGAGTCATCCTATAGCGGGCATCACCATGATCATGAGCTGATAATGGCCACGTCTTCGTCGACAAGTTCAACGGCCGGACTTCAGCATAGTCCAACACTCAGCCCCCACTCAGTTTCTGCCGGTTCTGTTGTTTCCATGTCCTTACACTCCCCCGCATCGGTTGTTACCTTGCCCAACATTAATGGCTCAATACAAAGTCTCACAGCTGAAATGCCTGTTGTTGTCTCTCTTACACCTACCCCTCCACCTGTAACGGATGACGGGGCTGCAGGCATGAGAATGAACGAGAATGACCCAAGTCAAAGACATCAACATTTCCTACCCAAAAGCCAAGATATTAGTGGCGATCAGTGTAGTATCCATAACAACCCGCATTCAGCCAACTCAAGCCATCAACAGTCTCATCAAAATGGTTACCAGAACGTGCAGCAGCTGTCAAAGTCGCATTCCCCAAAATCCAACCCCGGCACTAGTGGAGGCGGAAGCCGAAGTGCAAATGCAAGCGGAAGTGATATGGAAGAGATCAACACAAAAGAGCTGGCTCAACGTATCTCGGCCGAACTGAAGAGATACAGTATTCCACAGGCAATCTTTGCACAGCGTGTACTTTGCCGCTCCCAAGGCACACTATCTGATCTGTTGCGCAACCCAAAGCCATGGTCAAAACTAAAGTCCGGACGAGAAACGTTCCGTAGGATGTTCAAATGGCTGCAGGAACCAGAGTTTCAACGTATGTCTGCTTTGCGGATGGCTGCCGCCCAAATACCACAGCGTACACCGATTTCAGGGGGAACGGGGGTGAGTGGTACATCAGGACCGACAGGGGTAACTACGACCATAACGGCTACAGACTCGTCACCAGTTATGCCAACAATGACAGGAAACGGTAAATAAACTTTTTTACTTTTACTTATTAAACAATTTTTTTTTAATCTTACTGATGGTGGCCTGACCAGGCTTTTGGAAGCAGCAATTTTGCTGCATTGACCAGATACTGACTATTAGACAGCATGTGCGGGACAAAAGTTTGCATTCTTTCCTGATTGGTTGTCTCTCCTAGGAGATTAAATGGAAAGATTTGGGGATGTGTATATGATTTATGGAATTCTCTGCTGATTTGAAATCTTTTCCAGAATATTTGTTTGTTATTCAAGTCTTGTGTGACTTTTAATGGTAGAAATCACATGGAGTAGTGATATGTCGGACGAATGCACAGATTGGCAATCTTAGCAATTATATTTAAAGCTTGGAGCTTTTCATATTTTGTTTTAAGTCCTCAAAAACAAGCAGAGCATAAGCAGAGCAACCCTTTCTACTGCATGAATTTCCGTATCTAATTCTTCGTTGAAAGAATTGTTCTAGAACAATCTCCAAGCCTCTATTGTAATTTAATTAACATGGAGCTCTGTTATTTTCGTAACATAGAATTTTTTTTTAAATTTGACTGTTTTTATTTTATGGTGTTGCAGTAACTCTGAAAATAGTGGGTGTACTTGCCCTTTTTAAGCTTCCCCTGAAAAGAGTGGCTACATTTTCTTCCCACCATAACATAGTACACTTGTTGAACATTTTATACGTTGTTGCTTTTATTTCCTTTTTTTTTGTTTTTTTGCTATATCTAATATATAAAATTCTCGCGTCACAAATTTTGTTGGTGAACTCCTCCGAAATTGCTTAACCGATTTTCGTGAAATTTTGTGTGCTTATCGATTAGGTCTGCGCATCGGCCAACATCTATTTTTCATCCCGATCACACCACTCCTTCGGTACCCGAAGCGTGGGAAGCGCCCATAGCCATGCCCATGCTTCAGCTGCAGCACCTGTATGGCGTCATAAAATTCAAAGACAATGTTATGAAAAATATTAAATTTAATAAAACTTTTCGTACATTTACAAAATCGCAGTAGGCCGAAAAAAAATTCGTTCCTGGGGTTTGAATATTGTTTATGAATCATTATTCGTTTTATATCGGAAGCGAAAACATCTAAAAAAAACTTATAATCGAGAGAACATAAAATTTCAAGAAAAGCGGTCGAACCATTTCGGAGAAGTTCAATAACAAACGAGAAACCCGAGAATTTAATATATTTTGAGCAATGCCAATAAGACGCAGAGGGGCAATTTGAGTCGTCAAACGATCAAGTCTAGAACCATGCGAGATATAACAACGAATTTCAGGTGAAAAAATCCAAGAAAACAATACAGATGATCGTGTGAGCATGGCGCAGTTACGTGAATCATAATCGCAAAAGGCCCGAGATGAACGAAATCAACAAAGGCAACCAGATCGAAGAGTAACGTGCAGATACATAGATAGTCGACAGACGTAGATGAATTGAAGAACAGCGCAATAAACGCCAACAATTTCATCGAGCATTTACATCAAATTGATTTCTTCGACTAGCAAAACAACGTTTGCCGGGTCACCCAGTTTTCTATATTTTTAAGTTCTGTTTATTTTTGTTCGACTTATTATTATCAATAGTTTCTTGCGTTGAATTCCACTCAAGGATTACTCTATTATAGGATTATAATTTTCGAGCGATATCAGAGGTTCGAAATATATTAAGGTAACATTTGATCTGAGTCATATATAGTAAGTCTTACATCCTCTTTGTAGGCGGTAGCTACACCCCGATATCCATCTTCTCTGTGTTTTTACAAGAGGTTCAACATTTCTAGCATCTGAGAACATAAATTGCGTAAGACTACTTCCCCTAGAATAGAGTTCCTAGGAATTATAGGTCATTTTGTTTAAGAGATTTGATAGATTTCAATAAAATCCATATTCTCACTGTTTTCATGCTCACTCTCATGTGTAAATACCAAACACGTGGATTTCTACCATTTCTGCCTTTCTGCTTTTTCAGGATTGCTCAGTGGATCCTCATCCTCTTCTTCTTCTGGTGGTGCCGTTGCCAGTATTGTCAATTGTCGTCGCAAGGAGGAACCTCAGATCGAGCAAATGCCGCATCCAAAGAAGCCTCGTCTGGTTTTCACCGACCTACAACGACGCACTCTTCAAGCAATTTTTAAAGTAAGCTTCCAATATACATATATATTTTTTTTAATTATTAAATGAACAAAACATTTAGGAAACCAAGAGGCCGTCAAAGGAGATGCAAGTAACAATTGCTCGGCAGCTGGGATTGGAGCCTACCACCGTAGGTAATTTCTTTATGAACGCTCGTCGCCGATCAATGGACAAGTGGCGCGATGACGATACAAAGAATGCATTGCATTCCATGCAGAGCCGTCAGCAACAACAGGATCATAACCAAAATCCAAGCAATAATTTATCACATGCAAACTATGCAAATATCCATACGACAGCGATGTCACCGATTGGCGCTTTTGATGACGAAGCTGATATGGAATTGGAGCTGGACAACAGCCACGATTTTGACTTAGTTGACGATCATGGGGATAATAGTGACGAGCATGGCGATATGTTGTGACAGCATAGCCGATGTAGGCAACAATCCGACAACAAGAACAAACCAAACCTAGAGACCAAGCTATTTGAAACTCGTACCCGCACCCGGACCCACACTGGCACACACACGCACACGCGCTCTGATATAGATATTTACTCTAATGCATCTGCATCTCGGAAGACAGTGAGAGTCCATACCAATCAAATTCCACGGAGGGTGGATGAGGTGGTTGGAAATATTCTATTAGACGATGAGGGTGATGGTAAAGGTCATGTAGATAATTTGGCTGAGATTAAGCCACAGTCAGATGTTGAAGAAAATTGGGCCCCTAGTCCAAGTCATGGGCTGCAACAGCATCAAACCAACATCTGTATGGACGATTTAGCCATTTCTGATTACTTGGATGACCTAAAAGTCATGATAGTCTGCTAAAGCTTAAAAACTCACGTAGAATGTTGTTCCCATTGTAAAAAATTCAACCCTAAATATGTATAAAAGTTTAAGGTGTATACTTAGATAAAAAATCTAGTAACACTTATCACTTAGCACAACTCAAATGAATTATTCTTTCAAGATAAATTTATCTACAATAGTACTTTTGTAATATACATACTCACATGTAGATGAGTTGTTGTGTTCGAGTGTCAGTGCATGTACATATGTATGTTGAGAGGCCAAGTTAAGAGATAGATGGACAAGGAACAAATTAAAAGGATTCCCAAAACTTAATTATTACCGATTCAAAAAGTCTAAGAATGTAACTGTATCTAGTCAAATTTATAAGATAAACAACAAACACACTACATTATATAGAGCTTAGAAAGACGCAAATAATTTATCGCAAAAGGAAATGAATATTAAATTGAGTTACGGAAAAAAAATAAGCTGTAAATAAGCAAAATATATATGTACTTATATGTATGCCCTTTAGTCCAACGCTTATCCGAACAAATAATTCGAATGCATATACATTGTAAATTTAAAACTTTCAGTGGAATTCAAGTTATGTTGTGCTTTTCTAAAACCACTATTTATTTCAAGAACACAAAAAACGAAAAGCTCACACAAAATAATTTAATAATACTTAATGGTGAACAATTGTTTAAATAATACTCAACTGCATCTGTAACAAGCACTTTTTTTGTATCTGTATGCTATTTGAAAGGAAGGGAAGGGCAATGATGCAATAATGCAATAAGAAGAATATGTATGCTAGTCAATTTAGTTTAAATACAATTTTTGCAACGGCAAATGGTGGGTTAATAGTTAAGAGCAGTCCTATAGTCCGCATCTATATCTTACTCGTACTTATAGACCGATTCATAAAATAAGTGTATGTATAAATCAAATAAATGCAATAATAAATTAAAGGCAACCCAACCGTAACTATGTAAGTACCTATGTATGTATCTATGCCTTATATGTATACAATTTAAAAAGCAACAAAAAATTAATAGCCATCCAGTTTGTTTTTAGGTTTTTCTCCGCACCAATTTCAAGTTTTAAAATACAATTTGATTGCTTTTATTTGATACTCGTGCTTTTGGCAATTTTAGAGAACGTCGTTATGAATTATGAATTACAAATGTTTTTGTTACACTTTCAGTTAAACTAAAACCAAATAAATATATAGAGAACATGCTAAGCAGAAGTCAAGAAAAATGTAATTGTGAAATCTAAACTCAATCCGCGATGATTTTTTATTTAATGTTATTTATACATTATTATTACAAGGCCTTGTCGTGTTGATCTTCGAATTATTATTATTATTCGATTTTGTATGAAACTATTCACATTGGTGGGTTTTTTCCCCAATCCAGCGGGTGGTAGGGGGTGTTGGGGTTGCACTCTTCCTCCCCTAAATGAGATTCTATTCACATAGGATGTTTCCCTATGTTTCCTGCTCCATTTCACAGAATTTGCAGGAGTCCACCTTTATTAATTTCTTGAGGTGATATCTCAGGTGACAATAACCCTCCTAAAGGAGATATTTTTTCGGTGATGAGAGTCTTTTTGGACTGCCTTTGGTTTTCAATATTATTCCAGAGCCTGAGTTTCTCTTCTTCTTCTTCTTCTTATTTTCGTATTATTTCCTATCTGTGCCCACAGAACGATAAGTTCCACCAAAGTTCATAAGCTCATAAGTTCCTTTAGATCGTTTTAGTTGTTGATTCGACGATTGAACTTGGCTATCACCGCAATGTAAAGGTGTTCAATGCAAAGAGATGTTTTCTAATAAGTCATTACTTCTTATTTATTCTTTAACTATGTTTGAATTCATATATCAAAAGAAGAAACGAACAGTACCGCGTCGACAATTGCGCGATGGTCGAAACGGAGCGTCTCAATTTCAATTGTTTCAATCGGTCGAAGTTACGATCAGACGAGTAAATCCACTTGCGTGACGCCATAGGTACTGGGTACTCCCAGGTTCTTATGTTGAAATAATCAGAAATCACGAATCAGTTGCTGACAGGACAAACATCCAGCAACCAACATAAGATCAGAGTACTCATGAATTACATGCATGGCAGAAGCGTTAAATTGTGGCAGGACGACGTTCGCCGGGTCCGCTAGTTGCGAATAAGTAAATACTGGGGGGTGAAAGCCACGATTAAGAAGGGGATCACTGGAGTTTTCAATTGTCAAGTGGTTATGCTGCAGCAGCACTTCCACTGGGAGCAATCGGGCCCAAAGGATCTGATATCGGCGGGTATTCGATCGGCTCTTGTGAACCGCTCCGTTGCGGTTAATTTCGCAGAAATTAATATAAATTAACATAAATAAATAATTTAGGCAGAATAATAAATAAATATTGGGGTATAAAAGCCACGACAAAGAATAGGATCACTGGAGTTTCCGTTGTTCCGTTTCCATAAGTTAACAAGCAAGGTAACGAACAGCCCTCTCCGTAATTTAAGAAGTAATCCACGCGACCACAACGGCGATGTATCAAGTTCGGAGTGCAACGCTCACACGCTGCTTTGGACACAGGTGCATCTCATTCTTTAATCATGGAAGGTATAGCTAAAGGAAATGTGGAGCCTCTCAATGGGATACGTCTGCGAACGTCTACAGGTAAAGAGGCGCACATAATAGGCATGATTAAAAAAAATCTTAGAATTGTACATATACATTTTGAAAACGATTTTATCGTTGCTGATATCGTGGACGCCATCATTATCGGAGTAGATTCACGATCCGTTATGGCTTTACACTGGATATACAAAAAAAAAATTCTGAAATATGTGTGTGGTCCCAGGGTTTCTGCACTGATATGGATTGAATCCCGAGACGACGGTTTATTATGTTGTAGATTTGAACATTCATTAAGTATTTAAATGGATTAAGATTATGATTAACAATGTATTTGTATGTGTGTATAGCTTTGGGATATGTGGATGAAGCTCGCGAAACTCTGGCACCGACTGACTCTCGCTCTCGCTGACTCCCGCTCTCTTGATCTCTCCACTTAACCCTAGAAACTTCCTGCAGTCGTGATGTCTCTCTCTCTCTGCTGCTCAAAAAGGGTACTGAACATGGCGGCCACTTCGAGTCTCTCTCTGCACCGTGGACTCTATCCCGATTCCTACATATGGAAATGTAGAATTGCCTATAAGTGGAAGTAGAGACGACGGCTACGTGACGAATATTTATGCATCGCACAAAGTCGTAGTGCTGCCCAAAATGGAAACTGTAGTGTGGATTAAGTTATGTCAGAGGGATGGAGATGAGAAGTTATTGGTAGTCGAGCCCGTAAAAAGGTATCTAAAAAAATTGGGTTAACTACTATCAAAACCTCAAAAGATAAAAGCTTCTTCCTTGTTGGAAACATTTTGGAACATTTTTTCATTTAATAGGGTAGCAGGAAGGACTACTTTGGACTACATAAAATTGACACAGGAAGTACAGGAAATATTCGACAGCTACCACGTAGGGTTCCACTGGCCAAGATGGAAGAAGCAAGATAGTTAATAACAAAATTGGAACGTAATGGAATAATAGAACCGTCCATTAGCCCATGGAGTTCTCCAGTAGTGCTTGTAAAAAACAAAGATGGCAGTACAAAATTTTGCGGTATCGAGAAAGCTGGACTACAAATAAATCCAAAGAAATGCTAATTTTTCCAAACTGAAGTTAAATATTTGGGTCATTAAGTAACTACAGAAGAAGTACACACTGAAGGAGTCAAAGCTGACCTTACAAGAGCTTAGAAGTTTTTTAGGACTCTGCACCTATTATCGCAGGTCCAGTTTGGTCGAAACCAGAAAGAAACTACTCACGAGAAGAGAACTATTAGCATTCGTGGCAATTAATCTATTAGGAATTTCATCTGCGAACTGATCACGCAGCACTTAGCTGGATTCAAGAGTTCAGGGACAGCGACAGGTTATATAATCTGTAAAGATCAAGAAGATGGTGAGAACCTCGCAATACTTGTAGAGGGCCAAAAACATAATGGAAAGACATTTCGGGAGGAGATGACTAATAAAAATCCTATCGCAAAGGCATACTGGTAGCTGTGGCAAAGCTTACACCTCAAAAACGGATTTCTATATCTCACGTAGAATGTTGTTCCCATTGTAAAAAATTCAACCCTAAATATGTATAAAAGTTTAAGGTGTATACTTAGATAAAAAATCTAGTAACACTTATTTCACTTTCAAGATAAATTTATCTACAATAGTACTTTTGTAATATACATACTCACATGTAGATGAGTTGTTGTGTTCGAGTGTCAGTGCATGTACATATGTATGTTGAGAGGCCAAGTTAAGAGATAGATGGACAAGGAACAAATTAAAAGGATTCCCAAAACTTAATTATTACCGATTCAAAAAGTCTAAGAATGTAACTGTATCTAGTCAAATTTATAAGATAAACAACAAACACACTACATTATATAGAGCTTAGAAAGACGCAAATAATTTATCGCAAAAGGAAATGAATATTAAATTGAGTTACGGAAAAAAAATAAGCTGTAAATAAGCAAAATATATATGTACTTATATGTATGCCCTTTAGTCCAACGCT